CAATTGTTCTTAGCTTCGAGTTGTAGAAATATTCTATAAGTCATCTTTTTTCAGCTCATCCAATCAAAATATTTGCTCTGCTACAACATAATTGTTTCTGATAATAAAGCATTTTGTGAGAGTACTTCATGGGCAGAGGCTAAAGTGTTTCACACTCACTGTATTGAAGTGATTTATTTCTCCTGGAAGAATTTTAGTAGAAGTATTAGAAATGCTCTAATAATATAATTCTAAAACCTAAAATATAACTGAAGAGATCCAACATTGAATCTCTCATTTTCTCAAGAGTAATGTCCATTGTTTCCTTATTGCCACCATCACTGCTGCTAGCCCAGATATTACACATAATGGAGTCCCTTAATCAATTATCACTGGCTTTTGTTGGGCTTATTTTTTTTTTTGAGAAGCAGTACTGATTTTTATTGTCAATACAAGTAAGAGATACGAGCATAACAGAGGACACAAATACATTAGTTGTTCTCATTATTTGGGACTCCAGGGCCACTCTATGGAAAGGTCAGCCCAGCTGGCCACATAAACAAGATCCTTCCAAAGCCAAAAAAACAGGGATTCAAGACAGCGCTCAGGACGACGACCAAACACGTCCACAGCAAGGAGAAAAGAACAGGTGCTGCTTCCTTTAGCTCCTTTCCTCAATGAGTGCTGTGTTTATGCAGATATGAGGCTCATTTGGGGGGAAATGGTGACATGTGAACAGTTTTTCACCCTCCTGTCTCTCAGAAAGAGCTGCAGGCCCTGGTGACACTTGTTTCAATGAACGTACACACTATAACCTACAGAGTTACTTCCATGTTTACTTTAAAAAACTTGATGTCCATTTGTACCAAAGCAGTAGGCTGAATTTTCTCCCTGAGAAAGCTTTCCACAATTGGAGTTACCTTAATCTCACTTTAAAGTGCAGTGAAGGATATGCAAGACTTGTGTTTGCTGGCATGTGACAGAGAGGCACCACCCAGCAAAACTGTCCTGCTGGGACGGGTAATGCCTGTCTGCAGAGGCACCGCAGTAAGAACTGTTTCTGCTGGAGAGCGAGGGCTCCAGTCTCCATGCAGCAGGAGCCCAGAGTTCAGGTAGATGGTAGGTCCCCTCACTGACAAGGCTGGAGCACACAGCACCAGCAGTCGAGAGGGCCAGAGACTGGCCAGTGAGCACCTCTCTGCCATGACCTGCCCATGCACGTGCTAACCGTGGTAAAGGGACTACATAAGCATTATCTACCTAGTAAGCAGCGATCAGGTTCTTGTCTAGCCTAAGTAATGCAGACACGGGTGATAAGGCCCCTGTACACCACTGCTGAGACTATTTAGTCTAACTTTAAATTAAAGCAACACACAACCGCTTCTTCCACACAAGGACAGGATTTGCTCTAATGTTTCTCAAAAGCCGATTATGTCTTAAATTCTAACCTCAATTTAAGAAGTTAAAAAAAAAAAACCCAAACCTTTCCTAATTCAGAACCAGGGTAATAGGGGAGTGGGTGCAAGACACCCTCTATCCAGAGTCATTGGAAAAGAAAACTCTAGAAGCTGGTGGGTGTGAGCAAATTCAAGTCACAGGGTGTGAGATTCTGGGTCCATTTGGGGTTTCTTCCTGTCAATCACTGGGATGCCCATCTTGGGCGGCTTGAAGGTTATTGGATCTTTAGCCATTCAGACAGCCTGCACATGGATCAGCCTGCTTGGAGAAGGCTTCTGGGCTCCTCTGGAAGCCTGCGTGGCAAAACCTCCCAAATCAGACTTCTGGAGAGCTCTTGATCCAAAGAGTCTCCATTTATTTACCAAGTTTCTGTCTTTATCCCTGATTCCAGAATCCATGGTGCTAAGATTTGGGCCAGGGAAGGCTGCGGAACAGCCAGAAGAAAACCAGCCTCTAGGGGTGGTGGGGGTGCTGCTGGGAGCGGACCGGGCTGAGGCTGGCTGCTTCTCTCTACTCCGTACTTTTAGTTTGGGGAGTGCTTCTGACACTCAAAGGTACTTGGCCTCCTCGGTGGGAAGGCCCATGTGTAGTGTGTAGCCAGCATCTCTCATTCCTGCCTGATGCTCAAAATGCTGAATGCTCTCCTGGGTCTGTTTTGTGAGCAGAGAATTCATGATGACATGGGTGGCTTTAGCCTTCACCATAGGACGTTGTCCGTACTGTCAATGGCCAATGACAGTCATAGCAGGGGAAGAGACACTGGCCTCTCCTTCTTCCACATTGGTAAGGTGCTGATACTTGCACTCTGGAATCCCTGGCTTCTAGGGGATGCTGCCCATGTCTGATATAGGAGGAGTCATGGGTGCAGAGTCCTCCAGGGCATCATCATAGCTGAATGCCCAGCGGCACATCCCCATGGGCAGGGACATCTTGCCTCAGGGCCTACTACCCATCTTGCTCCAGGGTAGTCACTCCTGCCTTTCTTGAAGCCATTGAAAGTCTGGGATCCAGATGCTTTTTCTATATAGATTTCAGAGCTGAGTCCCTGCCACTGGAATGCAATGGTGTGATGATTACACTGACAGATAGATATTAATGAGGAAGACTGTCCAGCTGCTGCCAATACAGCTAAGTTGCTTGGAAAGAGTCCATCCACTCCAGAGGTTTGGTTTCACCACCTCAGAGTTGCCTGCAGCCAGACCTCTAGCACTGAAGAGGCTCCAACAACCCATGTCTCTCTCAATGCTGGGGCATAGTCAGGACCCACGCCATGCTGTGAACATCACTGAGTCAGCTGCCACCCTGAAGAGCTCAGGCACTGACCAGAGAGTGTAAGTTCTAATCAATTATCACCGTTACAGAGATAAACACAGCAAACCTGCTGGGGCTTAATAGTGTTAGTTCTCACTTGTCATTTTGGTATTAGCTATCACAGTTCAGATATGAAAATCACATATGCTCCCAATTTAAAGTTATAAAACAATGAATTACAGAAAAATCATGTATGTGTGCTCGTGTGTATACATACACACACAGTCTTTCTACCCTAGAGAAATCTGTTTGCCATGGAATTCCTCAAGTCTGAAAGAAGATACCACTCCATTCTCCCTGAACCACTCCCACCCCATCCATGCATGCACACCCACTTGCACCAACACACACACACACACACACACACACGCTCACACAACCAAATCTACTGTTTTTCTGTAATAATCTACCCTGTTAACTTCAGCTTTTCTTATTTCCTCTCTTGAGCTTTCTCTTGCTTGACTGTTTTCTGGTGTTTGGCTGGGTATTTAATTTGCTTTCATTCTTTCCTTTTTACTGGTGAAAGAGTTTATATTATGAATTTCCCTCTGACCATTGCTTCAAGTGTACCCCAAAGGCGCTTTATGTAGTGTTTCCATTATCTTATTAAATTCTGCAGTTTCAGTCTGTATTCCCTTGTTTCACCCACGAGTTGTCTAATAGAAGGTTTTTAAAATATTTCCTGGTGGGAGTTTTAATTTTTTGTTTTGTTAATAATTGCTAGTTATATTGCATTGTAATCAGGGAATATTGTTGGTAATATTTCTGGGCTATAGAACATTTTGATGTGTTCCTTGTGAGCTAGTGTATGAAAAACTTCATAAATGCTCCATAAGCACCTGAGAAGGAAGTGCATTTTTTATTATCAGAGCCTACCATTTGGAATATGATGATAACATCTCTTTTATTGATTATGTTATTTAGGTTTCTGGCTCCTTAATTATTTTTGGTGTGCTCACTTGATCTGTTTTGTGTCTCTATGTATGTTCTACAGTTTATATTCATAAATTTCATATGATCAGTTTGACTTGAGGCATTTAGCATTAAAAAGTATCTCTCATCAGTTTGGTTTTTTTTGGCTTGAATATTGCTTTATTTGATAATAAGTTCAAATGTCTCCTTTCTTACTATTTCTATGGATTCAATGTACCTTTGTCTATTTTATTTGTGATTCTAGTTATTTTGTTTTAATTATGTCCCTTGTATATAGCATAAGCTATGTATGGCTTTGTAAAACAAAGTGAAAAGCACATTCTTTTAACAAGTCACTTCCCCTTTATGGTTATGACTACTATGTCTCCATTCTGTTGGTCTCAGTTCTGTCACAATAGTTTTAAAATTATGTATGTTAGGCCATACTTGCTATGCTTATTTCTTTACACAATGTGTATTATTTGGTTTTCAATTAAAAATGATAATTAAGAAGAATTATATTTTCCTTTTAGTGGTTACCTTTGAATTTATATCTTCTATAATGCCTGTTATCTTATGTGTTCTTTGGAAAACAGTTTTGAGTCAAAATTCAGTTTAGAGTCTGCCTAGTCCTGTAATCTTAATCTCTGGTGTATTACTTTCTAAATAGTATTCTTTACCTGTTGCCTATAAAATACATCTGTGCGTTCACCTTCTACCCACACTCATGCCATTATTGTCTTTGCTTATTTGTTTTTAATAAGTCTAATGTACTTTGATCTTTTGCCTGGTGGCCTTGAGAGATTTTTTTCCTATTCTTGTTTTTTTTTTTTTAAGTCTAATAATTTTACTAGGGTTTACCCTGAAGACAATCATTCTGAGTTGATTTCCCAGATGTGCTGAATCATATTTTCTGATGTGGTGATCACACTAAATTTTGACTAGATTTATTTAGTTTCCTTCTGTTCATTATGCTCATCTTCGGTGGTTTGCCAGATGAATAGTTAGGAGGGCATATTCTCCTGTCAGCATACCAATGTCTGGATTCCCTAGTGAATTTTTGGATTGTGTGTGTGGTTGAGGGAGGAACGGGTATCTTTCCCCTTCACTCTCCTCCTACCACCTAATCGCCAAAGGCACTCCTCCCTCGTGTTTGTCTTTTTCTTCCCCTGAACTTCTGGAGCACTACCATTTCTAGCAGTGTGTCCTTGTAAATTCCTTGCCTACCATCCATGCTCTGACATACTGACTCACGTTTGTATTTGCCGACTAACACTGGCTCAACTGGTAAAATGCAGACAACTGTAACTGAACAACAATAATGTAATTTAAATAAAAATAAAGCTATGGAACACTTCATGAATTTGCTTGTCATCCTTGCTCAGGGGACCATGCTAATCTTCTTTGTCTCTTCCTACTTTAATACATATGTGTACAACTCAAGTGAGCAACAGTACTGGTTCTTATGCTCTAATGCCTAGTTTGTGTGAGAAAATGCTTCAACAGAGTCAAGAACTATACAGTCACTAGTACTAGTACTACATAGTACTCGAGTAAACAGAAAACTGAGTCTGTGTACTTTCTGTGTTACTTTTATAGCAAAAAGAGCTTCTAAATAGCACTGAGAACGCAGATAATAACAGTACTTGTGCTTTGAGATAGTAACAAACCAGTCAAAAACAAATAAAATTGATACCCCCACCAAATAGTAAATATATGATTTCCAGCAAGTTTTATGTAATATTGAAAATGACTATCAAACTATATTTCCACCTTTTGGACTCGTGGTTCTCCATGAACTCATGAACTAGATGAAGAACCATGAAGTTTATTTTTTAGATCTTTTTTAACTAGGACATTCTTTGATTTTCTGATAGTATATATCAAATCTTCAGTGTTATCCAATAGAAATCCAAGAACACCCACCTCATTATAAATGTGCTAATTGATAATAGGGAATTTCGATTCTGCTGTATTCATAAAGAACTCTTTTCATACACAAAAATGTTTTAAAGGTAGGGTAAGGACTGGTTGGGATGGGCTTTCCAGCTCTCAAACATTTTAACTTCTTCTTAATACAGTCCTCAAATCTGAGACAGAATGAAAAGGTGGGTTTTGCTAGAGACACGTACTTGTCACCACCATCACCTGTAGGCCTTACATGTATGGGTGCATACTACCTTGTCTTAGATGGGAAAAGGTAAGCCTTTCTATTTATAAGTCAGTTTTCACAGAACTAATGTTTTCTCATGTTGCCAGCATTTAATTTTTCACCAGTGCACTTACAAGTTTTCATGGGCAGTTGAATGCAGCTGTGGCACTAACCCTGAATGAAGCATGACTCTCTTCTTAGAGCCTTTGGTACTGAAACAATGGCAAGAATCAAACCTTCACCACTGGCCCTTTTCCACAGTGAAGTTTCTCTTTGTAAACTCACCAAGAGCTTGTGACCTCTGAACCCAAAGTCCATCAATTACCCAGCATGCAGGAGTGGGATATAGGGAACCAGCAGCACCATTTAGCTGTCAGGCAGTTAACATCCTATCATAAGATGAAAAGCAATTTGCCCAATATTTCAACTGCCAGAGAGAATTCTTTATTAGCTTTTGGATAAGTTTGCCTTTCAACCGGATGATTTGAACAGCTTCTTTGGTAGGAGAGATGCTGCTCTCAGATAATGATTTTGCATTTCACCTCATCATTAATGCTTTGGACCTCAAGGGAAGTCATGGTGCCTTTTGTGAAGGTCGAAGCATTTTATAACTTTAATAAAGACTCACATAGCCTTGGGAACATCAAGTGTGAGCAAGGGTGGGAGAGTGACTGAATAAAAATGTAACTAAATTGTCACTTCCACTACACTACTTGAATACTGGAAGGATTTCCATTGCAAATCAACAGTTAAAGAATACAGTGGCACCCCAAACTTCAGTGCAATTCAGAAGTACATACACAGAAACTGCCATTCTTCAAAGAAAAAATGAGAGAAATTATCTTTTTCCTCTCTCTAGAAAAGCTTTTTTTTTCCTGTAATTTTTTATTTAATTGCCAAATGTTTCAGAGGTGCCACACAGAGGTAGGTTAATCAGCATCTTGAAAGATTGGAATTCAAAACAGCTAATAGTTAGTGCTTCATTATTATAAATTTATTTCTACATGTAATTTAGTTCACTGTATTTTGTAGTGTAAAATGAATACAAGATAATAAGCAAAAGACATTATGAAAACTACATCACTGTCTCCATTTCCCAAAGTATAGGTCACTCTGTCCCAAATATTGCTAATTACTCAAAGCTTTCAATTACTTATTTAAGGGTACTCTCCATTAAAATCACTCCAATTTATAAATTCAGTGAATTCTTTTTTTTAATTTTCCTAGGTTTCTACTTCCTTCCATCAAGCATAGTTCACCAGCCATACATATGTACCCAAGAACTAAGAAAGCAAAACAAAAATAGGAGCTGCTAGGCCAGGCATTGTGTGATATAATATCATCTCGTCTTCTTTGACCTTCATAGAAACCTTTAAGGGAAGGCACATTATTCCTATTTCCAGACTGTGGACCGGAGAGGTTAAATAATTTTGCAAGGTCATATTCCTGATGAATTTTAGAGCTCAGTGGTGCTGAATTCATCCTGTCTTTCTCGTGTAGTAAACCACCCTATCCGGGGCAGCGATAAAAGAGTGCAGGCCAGGAGGATGGGGGAAGGAACGCCTGAAGAGATCCTCAGACTGGTAATAAACCTGACCACAGGGCTAGTCCTCAAGGTGAGTAGTGGGGAGCCCGGTACGAAAGTAGGGCTCTTTCATGATCCTGAGGTGAGTAAGGCTCTGGTTTCAGTTAGTAGTTTGAAGTAGAAACTAAATAGTCTTGTAGACTGGCAACTGGCTACAAGGCCACTGGGTTTTCCAAGAAATTATGCCATAACCTAGAGGAAAATTTTTAATTTTCAATTTTATTTTCCCATAACTCTATGAACTTGAGTTATGTGATGGTGGGGTGCGGATATATATTTTCATTTTATCACAAATATCCAAAAATGCTTGCCAAAAAGTAGGTCCTCAGTACATAAAGGTGATCATATTCAAGCTAGGCAAGGGGCAAAAGTCAGGATTAGGGTTCAGTTACCCATGCTAAACCCAAAGGCCTTCTTTCTGGGTATATGGAGCACCCAGCAACTGGGGCACATTAGTGTGCCCCAAAATTCTGGAATTTAAGAACAGTGCTCAGTGACTTTAACTCCTTCATTATAATCTGCCACATTGGTATACTGACTTTCAGAACAAGAGCTTCCCTCGAGCTGGCCAGACCTGCATCGGAGAGGAGAAAGCCACTTGATTGTTTCAGGTTTATTTAGTACATCCCTACAGTCTTTGCAACTTGTAGATAGACCCATCATTAACCCAAACCTGGAGCCGACCTGACTTGGGTCACTCAATTCAGTTCCAATAGGCACCATATTTCAGCCCAGCCCTCATATGTCTCAATTCTTATTTTAACCTTCATTTATTCCTTTGTTCTCAGATATTTATTAACACCATAGTGTACCAGACAATGGGGATAAAATAGCTGAATAACCACTATGGAACATTCCAGCTGGCAGGGAAAACAGGAAACTAAGCATGAACTTACATTGTAAAAGGCTTTGATAAGGAAACATATGGAATGCTAGCAAACCACATGCTTGGTATTCCCCGTAATTCTGCCTGAGGTCAGGGCATCCTGCTGGATCTCCTCCCTTTATTCAAGTGTTCCTGTTAGTAGATACAGCAAAGGGACGTTTTCAGGAAACCCAGTCAATGCTGGATGTGTCACTCGAGTCTCAGCAGCTAGAATAGTCTTGCTTCTTTCTTTTTTTTTCCAATTCTTCCTGATGGTTTTATTTGAATATTTATTGTGGAAAACTGAGCTTGTTAGTGAGTAAAAGAGAACAGATATAATGCAGTTCTCTGAGGAAGAGAGGAGAGAGAGAAAACCCTAAGTGGTGAAAAAAAAAGTGTATGGCTTCAGTGCAATTGAAGGAATATTCTTTTTATTTAATTTATTGGGGTGACGTTGGTTAATAAAACCAAACAGGATTCAAGTGTACAACTGTAACCCATCATCTGCACACTGCATCCTGAGCTCACCATAAAGTCAGGTCTCTTCCTGCAACCACTTATCCCCCCATTGCCCTCTTCCGCCACCCCCTTTCCCTATGGCAACCACCATTCTGTTGTATGTAGGGACTTTTGCTTAATTTCTTCCCCTTTTTCACTCAGCCCTCCCAACCTCCTCCCTTCTGAGAGCTGTTAATAAGTTCCCTGTATCTATGAGTCTGTTTGTATTTTGTGTTAGTTAATTTTGTTCACTGGATTCCACATTTAAGTTAAACCATGTGGTATTTGTCTTTCTCTTACTGGCTTATTTCACTTAGCATAATGCTGTTGAGGTCCATTCATGCTGTTGCAAAAGGTAAGACTTTCTTCTTTGTTTGGTTGAGTAGCCTTCTATTGTATACCTCAGCTTTTTTATCCATTCATCTACTAATGGGCACTTGGGCTGCTTCCTAATCTTGGCTATTATAAATAACATTGCTATGAACGTAAGGGTGCATATATTATTTCAAATTAGTGTTTCAGGTTTGTTAAGATATATTCCTAGAAGTGGGCTCACCAGGTCATAAAGCAGTTCCATTATTAATATTTTGAAGAAACTCCATATTGTTTTCCATGGTGACTGCACCAACCTTCATTCCCACCAACAGTGCACAAGCATTCCCTTTTCTCCACATCTTCACCAGCACCTGCTATTTGTTAAATTATAGGTGATAGTCATTTTGAAATGAGGTTATCTCATTGTGGCTTTAATTTGCATTAAACAAAAAAGTTTTTTTAAATATAGTTTATTGATTATGCTATTACAGTGGTCCCATTTTCCCCCTTCACTCCCCTCCACCCTGCACACCCCCTCCCACCCACATTCCCCCCCTTTAGTTCATCTCCATGTGTCATACTTTTAAGTTCTTTAGCTTCTACATTTCCCATACTATTCTTACCCTCCCCCTGTCTATTTTTTACCTACCATCTATGCTACTTATTCTCTGTACCTTTCCCCCTCTCTCCTCCTTCCACTCCCCTGTTGCTAACCCTCCCTGTGATCTCCATTTTTGTGGTTCTGTTTCTGTTCTAGTTGTTTGCTTAGTTGTTTTTTTTTTAGGTGTGGTTGTTAATAATTGTGAGTTTGCTGCCATTTTACTGTACAAGTTTTGTATCTTCTTTTTCTTAGATAAGTCCCTTTAATATTTCATATAATAAGGTCTGGGTGATGATGAACTCCTTTAACTTGACCTTATCTGTGAAGCACTTTATCTGCCCTTCCATTCTAAATGAAAGCTTTGCTGGATAGAGTAATCTTGAATGTAGGTCCTTGCCTTTCATCACTTGGAATACTTCTTTCCAGC